TCTGTGGGTGAGCTGGGCAGTTCCGCTGGTCTTGTTGGTTCTCTTTCCTGGATGCATTGAGCAGAGGCTGAGCTGCAGGCTGGGCTCAGAGGTGAGGTCTGGGGGCGCCGGGTCTCTCTTTCCAAGTGGTCTCTCAAGGAAGCTGGGTTTCTTCCCATGCAGTCCCAGAGCAGCATTTCAAGAAGGCAAGAGCAGAAGCCGCAAGGCTTCTTCAGGCCTGGGCTTGGAAGTCATATGGTATCACTTGCGCCACTTGGTCTAAGCCAAGTCACAGGTCAGCCCAGACTCAAGCAGTGGGGAAGTGGACGCCACCCCTTACAAGGAGAATCGTGTTTTCATTGGGACTGTAACTGGCATCACCAGAGGAAGTCAACTCCATTATCCAGAAAGACGTGGGAAGCTTCTTAATATCCACTAATAATAATGAGTAAGAAAACAAAACCCACTTACTCTGTACTGGACACTGTGCTAAGGACTTCACAAGACCCCAATGAGGCAGGTGTTAGGGCTGAACTATAATTTATTCCCCAATGCTCCTGCTTCCATGCGGAGAGACAGAATACTAGAGGAGAACTTCCTGCCTTTCACCCTCACCCACCACTATTTCCTCCTTCCCATGCGAGCAGCGACTCCCCTACTGGTGAATCTAGGAGAAGGAGTGCATTTCTTTCCCCCTGAGATCTCCCAGCCGTAAGGAGCGTGCATTCTGTGTGCGCTGGGGACAGGTGTGCCCTGTGGAGGAGACCTGCCAGGGGCTCAATTCAATCAGAAGGAGGGGTATATTAGCAAATCCATTGGGTCCACCACAGTCACATTCTCCAAACAGCTTTATTGGTTGTGAATGAATTACTGTGAACTCCATCTGCCTGGGTTTCTCAATTGTTTCTGAACTCAGGCAAAGAAAGAAGGGGTGCAACTTATTGGAACCTTTCAAATCCCAACAGAAAACACTGTCAGCCCCTTTTCCTGGAAAAGTTAAGTAACTAGTATAAGGTTGCATAGTTAATACCTGACAGAACCTCATTCCAGAACCGGCCTCCTTGACCGGAAGCAGGACCTCCTTCACCCCCTCTCTCCCTGACCGCAGGAAGACATTTAACACTTATGTCACCATTTACTTTCCTTTAACCAAACCCAGGTTAACAAGCAAGTCTTCAAGACTTTCTCTGTTCGCACTTATTCTTCATATCTTGTGTGTCAAGCACTTGCACCCCAGAGGGCAACAGAGGCATCCTGACCTTTGAAAATTCAATTAGAATTAACTTGAAACCCCTCCCTGCCGTCAGTGTGGTGAAAGTTCTGAGTCCCTCCCATTCCCCTGGACTTGGGGTGGCAGCACCAGTTTATCTTATTTTACCTTATTCCTAGTGGGTTGCACTCCACAATCCTGCTTCCACCAAATTATAAATTATCTCACCATCTATGTGCTGTTTTTCCTCCACACTATCCCCGGACCTGGAATAGAGACTCGTTGCCTTGGTTTCCCCCCTTAAACAGCCCTTACACCAAACACTGGGGAGTGAAGCAGACCTGACCGAGGGGCGGAGTGCTGGGGGAGTTTGCATTGCTCAGGCCCCTCAAGCCTCTGCTGACCTCTAACTGTCCATCCTCGCTCCCCTCCCACTTTGCACTTCATTATGTAAAACTTCAAACATATCTAATAGAAGGGATAATATTATAATGAACCCTACGTTCCCATCACTTAGTTTCAACAATCACCAACTCTCAACAGTGCATCATTTCAACTATACCTTCATCCACTCCCCTGTCGGGATTATTGTGAAGCTAATTCTGGTTACCACTTTATCCACAAAAGTTTCAGCATGCACCTCTAAAAGAACTGCTTTTAAAAACAAACCACTATACCAGTACCCTCCTAAATATAATTAATAGCAATTTCTCAATATCAGTAAACATCAGTCAGGGTTCACACTCTCTCAGTCCCTCCTCTCTCACCCCTGGGCTTCAATCACACCTAACGGAGACGACTCACACACATGTATCTCTGGCAGATCTCAGGTCTCCTCGATGAAACACACACCCATATAAGGACCGCCTACCTGAACAGGGCCAACGGCTGCATTGGGTACAGTAGGCCCAGTGCCGACAGCCCACAATATTTTTAGGAGCTCACAAAAATGTTTTAGTTCTTTTTAAGTGAGAAGAAAAAATTAACTTTCATTTTAAAATGTTTTAATATATAATATTCATATGTCCATCTTTATACCAATGCAATCATAAAATATAATTTTTAATATTATTTTAAGGAAGAAAGAACCCAGAAAGGCAAAAGTGCCTAGGGTCTGTGAAAGTCCTAATGCAGCCCTGCACCTGACATCTCCTTTTACATGTCTCAAAGGCATCCTCTAAGCTAAGTGTCCAGAACTGGACACCTGCCCCTCCACTCTCCTCTTCTGGTCCTCTCCCAGTGTTCCCTACATCAGTGAAGGGCTCTCTATTGTGTAAAGAAAGAAAGATCACCCAAATGAGAACACATCAAGGCTATTTATTCAGAGCTTGCTATAGCAAGGGAGTCAGCCACTGTCACCTGCATTTGGCAGAGACTCAAAGGCAGAGCAGTGGAAAGCTTATAGTGGGACGGCGTAGGGGGAAAGCCTTGGGTATACTCTGATTAGAAGCTGTTGGCGTGGGGAAGTTGGAGGCTAACTAGAAACTGGGCATCCTATGTGATTGGCTTAGAGGATATATTTGGCTTTCTTTCTCTGGTTGGTCCTGTGTTGGAAGTGGGGGCAAAAAATAGGCACCAGATCCTGACCATTCTGGACTGCAGAGGCTGTGGTTTGGATTCCTGATCTGGTTGTGCAGAGGTTGTGAGTCAGCTCTATTGTCATGTATGGCCTGGCCATTGTCCACTTGTATATTCAGACTGTCAATATCCATCTTGTTTTATAAGCTAGAAATCCAGGTTATCTTGAACACTTCCCTCTCTCCCACCCTATATCCAATCCATCACCAAATCCTGTAAAAATTCACCTCTTCAGATATCTCTCAAGTCTGTCACATCTTTCCATCTCCACCATGGTACCACCAAACGATTTTCATCTTTCATCTGATCTACTAAATAGCCTCCTAACTCGGTCTACCTACCTCCACTGCCCCCTCCCCAATTTATTTGTCAAAGTAATTTTTCCAAAAGGCAACTCTGATTGTGTTATCCCTATGCTTAAATTACTTCAACAGCTCCCACTGGTTTTAAGATAAAGATTAAAATCTTTAACGTGGCCTCCAGGACCCTGCATGGCCTGGCTCCCATCTTTCTGCCTCCTCCTGCATCACACAACCCTTTTTCTTTCCACATGAGACACTCTGGCCTTCTTTCAGTCCCTGATGCATCTCCCCACCTGCCACAGGGGATTTACTGGAAGACTGAGCAGCTCCTAAGTCTAAGGAATAAGTGAAGAGCCAGGGCAGCTCCAGGAACACAGGTAGTAGGAGCAAAACGAAGTCTCATCAGGGCATCAGTATTGAGAAATAGGCCCAACTAGCCCCCTGCCCCTTGCACCACTCTGCTTAAGATCCAAAGCCCTAGAGGACAGTTCAATGGCCATGGCTGGCTTGAGTCACATGCCCATCCCTTGGCCCGGACACTTTAATAAAAGTTCCAGTAAAGCTTTAGACAATGAAGAGAAAGTAATTTCCCAAAAGAAAATTGGGAGTTCTTACCACAAGGAGGAGGAATGGAGGCAGGGTGACCCCCAAATCAACAAATGTCCACTAACCCACGTTCCCACCCCCTGGACTGACTTCCTGTTCCCTCTTGCGTTAATCCTACTGATATTTAGATTCCAGCCCAATTGTCCCTTCATTAAAGAAGCCTTCCCCTGCCTTCCTAAGGGAGCCAAAGTCCTCTATTCTGTTATTTCATAGCACTGTACCCTCTCCTTCACAGCACTTGCCACTGCTTAATTTTACATGTATTTGTGAATGTTTGAATTCCATCCATCTCTCCCAATTGGCTTAACACTCCACGAGAACAGAGCCCACATCCGTCTGGCTTCCTGTGATACCTCAGGGCCCGCCGGCACAGTGCCTGGTGAAGCACACCCTCCACATTCATTTAACATATGAATCAAGCCACGAAGATATTCATTTTCCCAGTGATATGAAATATGCCACTCTCCTCTTAGAGGCAAAAGGAGCTAAATTTTTAAACAAGCTTTTTCCAGTTCATACTTTATTACATAATTTTCCTATTTAATCTTTACAATAATGCAGCAGGACCCCCTTTACACATCAAGAAACTGAGGCACAGGGAGTTAGGGAATTCATTTAAAATTACATACCTCGTAAAGGATCCATGGGAACACAAACCCAGGTCTGTCTGATTCCAAAACTCAAGTTCAAAACTTCTATATGGTATTGCTTCTCCACAACACAAGTTAACTCCTTAACACACACAGTTTAGAGACAGAACTCATTCATTTGCAAAACTGATTTTCAAATAAGATCATCTTCACGTAAACCTAGATATGCCATAAAAGTCAGTTTAATTTGTAAAATACTGACCCACAGAGAGAATAAAACAAATTAAATAGAAAACTCTGGCCAGATGCAATTTGACAGAGAATTATAACATGTACCAAAAGCCTTACTTTTTCTGTCATTCATGATCAATGACACTGAGGGTGAGGGAAGGAATAGAGATTGGTGGAGATGCAATCACTTAACGTTCCCTAAATTTCATCTACAGATTATAAAAAACATTTCGACTTATCTAAAAAGGCCTCACCATGTCCGTGTTGTCTCTCAGTAATGAGGGGAGGTTGGAAAAGTGACACAAAGAATGATTTCTTGGGGCTGGCCCCGTGGCCGAGTGGTTAAGTTCAAGCAGTCCGCTGCAGGCAGCCCAGCGTTTCATTGGTTCGAATCCTGGGCGCGGACATGGCACTGCTCATCAGACCACGCTGAGGCAGCGTCCCACATGCCACAACTAGAAGGACCCACAACGAAGAATATACAACTATGTACCGGGGGGCTTTGGGGAGAAAAAGGAAAAAATAAAATCTTAAAAAAAAAAAAAGAATGATTTCAATTCTTACGATTTAGAGAAGGGACCAAGGAGAGATCAGCGACTGGGGACGCAGATCTCACTGGCAAATATAAGGAAGAGCGTTTCTTCAGGTCAGTCACGGCAATGAGACGGCCAAGATGCTTGTGAGGAGACAGGAAGGAGAAGAAGGCAGGCTGTCATTTTCTCTTTTATTGTATGCTGGAGTCCTCAAACCTGCTAAGCACATGATGACAGGGAACAGGAGCAACTGCTGTTTGACGTCACAGTGGGGCCCCTGAAGTCTCATGTTTTTTGAGGGGGCGAGGGAAGACAAACTGACAGGACCAGAGTCAGGAACTAAGTCATCTACTACGTCTTCTAGATACATAACTAGGGTTTGACTGAGGTGGCTTTCTGTATTTAACGCATAATAGGTTCTGCCAACTCCTGGATCCTCGGAGAACATTGCGTTTTCAAAGCAGCTGGCTTGACTTTAAAGACATCTGGATCGTAATATACAATACGCACAGGAGCCCTGAAATGAGGGAAAAAAGAATTCAACCTGAAATAAGATGAACAGAAAATGGAACTAACATTCCTCAAGCTCCACTATTATTAGGCACTATGTTATTATCCCATTTTGACTTTCATAAACACCCCATGAAAGAGGAATCTTGACCTCCACTATATAGATAAGGAAATGAAGGCTCAGGGAAGTTATAAGAATGATCTGTGGTCAAATCCAGATCAGATTCCTTTGCTCTTTCCACAGAAAGTAAATTCTGGAAATTGCTCAATAATTCGGCAATGTTAAAACAAGCCAGACAGCCCTCTGGTGGACCTATAGAAATCAAATTGTTGAAGTTTCCACCCTTAGCACCTTATCACCAAATAATAACCTTGCCAGTGGGATAGAATCTTGAACACTTGATCTCATTCTTCCCTTTCCTTTGTCAATGAACAAAGAATGAGCTTCATTTCATTTGATGTTGAACTTTTTTTTTAAAGGAAAAACACATTGTAAAAGTTTACAAATATTTTATTATATAAGAACTAACGTATTTACTGTTCCCTGAGCTCAAGACTTCTACAACTTTTTCAGTGTCTCCTAGGATTACCAGATGATGCTTAAAAAGGGGGATCAGATATTATCCCTTGAAGGTAACACAATGAATTGAGGTTCAGGCAAGTTAAGAGGTCTTCTAAAAAATAAACAGTAAGTAGCCATTTCTTCTATGTTGAATATATTTTCTTATTTATTTGAAATGGGTCATATATGGACATGATGCAAAAACATTGAAAAATACAAAAGCTTAATTAGTGAAAAATAAGCCTTTCTCCCATCCCAGTTCCCCAGGCCCCCAAAAGCAACCATCGTTACTAGTGTCTCGTATACTCTTCTGAGATATTTATAGGCATAGGCAAGCAAATATATGGCACATATATATTTTCTTCTTACACAAACTACAACATATTACGTGCTCTATTCCGTAACTTGTTTCACTTAACAGTATATGTTAGATAAATAACCCCAGGTCCATAGTCACAGAGTTGTCTCCTAAATCTAAGTTTCAATACTAGTCTACACACCCTTTAACCGTAGCCTTATACGTATGGTAAGAAGACCACAGATTTGTCACAATGAATGTAACACGTAAGCAAGAAGGTTTTGCAAATTTCCTGTATTTCTACAATTCTTTTCACTGGCTTTATTAGGTCGACTTTCCCCTCTCCCTGCACCCTCAGCCTTTCTTGTCCCATCTCAGCCTTAAATTGACATACCTTGTACTTGGATTAGCTAGTTCTTGAATTCTTGGAGACGCTTTGGAATGGAGAGCAGCATAAGACACCGGCCAGTAGGCATCACGGGCAGGTAAATAATCTTGATGAAGAGGCTTGGCTTTAGCTAGAGCTTCTATTCGAGGGCTTGGTGTGGCTAGCAAGGCAGCGTGGGATACCTATGATGGAAACAAAAAGACACAAAAATACATCCCAGATCTCACGATGTCTCCCTCTCTTTACGGCCATATCCCTAATTGAGCCACCACCATCTCTCTCCTGGATTACTGCAACAGACTCCAAACTGGTCTCCCTACTTCCATTCTTGCCCCTGTACAATCCAGCCTTCACATGGCAGTCACCGAGGGAGACAATGAGCATTTTAATAAGTGTATTCCATGAACCAGAAGGTGTCCTACGTGATTTACCTATATCATTCCCACTTAATCATCATAACAGCTCTATGAGGTAAGTCCTTTCTGAACCCAGTTCAGATCATGTCACACCCATAGTCTAAAACCTTCTGGTGGCTTCCCACTTTGCTAAGAATAACTCAGGCTCCTTGCTGTGTCCTAGAAGACCCTCTATGATCTGGCTGCTCTCCCGCTCCTCTGACTTCATCTTCCTCTCTTTCCACCTTGATCACTATGATCCTAGCCACACGAGGCCCTTCTGGCCCAGCTCTTTCCATCTCAGGGCCTTTGTACTTGCTAGTTCTTCTGCTTGAAGTCCTCGTTCCTCAATCCTGTCAAGGCTGCCTCTTTATTATTCAAGTCTCCAGAATATCACATTCTCAAGGAGTTCTTCCCTGACCATCCAAGGTAAATCAGCCTTTCTAATTACCCTCTTCTACAGTACTCATTAAATCTTCTTCATAGCACTTACCGACACCTGGCTTAGCTCCTTTATCTCATTGTTGGTATGTTTATTATCTGCTTCTCCCCATTGGAATATAACCTCTTCAGAGAAGTACTTGTTTGCCAAAAGCTAGAATAGACCCTGGCACATAATTGGTGCTGAATAATATAATACGTTATAATATATAATATAACATGTTGACTGACTGATCAACTCTTCTTGGTCTTACTTTGAAAACCAAGTCTGCCAGGTTGCCTTTCTATTATGTTGCTCTATTGGTAAAACAGAAAGGCTAACATTTAGCTACTAATCTCTCTCGTAAGTGCTCATTCAAAAGAATTAGGACAATGAACACCAATCAGTAGCCCTGGAAGTGTTCTGTATTACATTGCTACAGATTTGTCTTGGGTTCTAAGAATTTGATGATCTGCAGTGGTATCACTTTTGAAATATACATATTTTTAACACCCAAACAATCCTAACAATTACAGAAAGATGCCTTTCATTCCCATCTTACATACCCAAAAACTGAGAATAAAGTGATTTGCCTGAGGGTCACAAGGCAAGTCACTTTAGCAAACTCAAGACACTCTCCCAAGGGTTTTTGATTCCCAGACTAGTTTTCTTTCCTAAGAATTCCATATCAAATCCTCAGGTTCCCAGAAAGAGGGTGAAATTGGTCCGACCTCCTTCGGCACCACGATCATTAGATATTTACTGAAAATTCAACTGGGATTGGGCAACAAGTTGCGACCACAATGAATGGAGGGGAGTGTCAAGGAGGAAGAGAGAGGGAAGCCACTGAATGTGCCAGGCTCTGTGCTGAACACCATGCAGTATATTACAAGTCACAACCATCCTCCAAGTGGGAACTGTTATCTTTACTCAACTTGCTCCACCCAGCTTCAAGGTCATCCCAACTTTAGGACTTTGACAAGTGCTCTTGCCATTACTACCATATTCTCCTCTCAGATCTTCACTTAGCTGACTCCTTCCCATTATTGAGATTTCAGCTCAACTATCTCTTCCATAGAGAGGCTTTCCCTGACTACCATATGCAAAGTATCTTATTCCCCACCCCCGCCCATTGTCACTCATTTCCTCTTTTATTTTCTTCATAGTAATAATCACTACCTGATACTATCTTATCTGTTTACTTATTTATTTTTTGTCTCCCACCATCTTGTTCGCTGGGAGTGGTGCCTGGCACACAGCAGGCATTCAAATACTCATTGAATGAATAAGGCTCAGGAAGGCTGTCACAACATCATAAAGCTAGCAATGGTGAGGCTGGAACTTGAAATCAGCTCTTACTACTCCAAAGCCCATGCTTTCTGCCTTCTACGCCCAAGTCTCTGTCCATATCTTGCAGGTAGGTCTTCTTTCCTGCCACAGACCATTCTTTCAAGATTCTCTTTTCCCATGGCTTTGGCTATAGAGGCAAAATAGCACCCTAGGAACAACCAGAAAGTGAGCTGAAGTGGATGCCAAGGCAGTGATGGCTTACAGGACGGATGGGCATTTCACTTCTTTCTCTCTCATAGCATAGACCCTCTAACTTGATCCTTGGATGGGCAAGGTCTACAATTCTTGGAGTTGCGACAGCAGTCAGGGTAGAAATTGAAATCCTGGTTTCAATCTAGGGCAGAAAAACAAAATAGTACCTGTAAGTATCAAATAATAAACACTGTCTCAATCAAGATTACAAAGTACAGTCTGACCTCTGGACCAGACTTCTCAGCAAATCCAGCAGAAATAAAGAGAATCTTGCAGTAACCCATGATCATAGCTGAAAGGATCAATTTCCATCTTTCCCAAACTAGGTTGTATGGATTCCAACCCAGCTTTTCAGGAACTTACTATTAAACTAAAGATGGGGAGGAAATGGCAATGTTACATACTGACTAAGAAATAAATGGTAATGATGCGGGGTCGGTGAGCCGAGGAGTCGAAAGAAAGATTTCTTAGACTCTCAAGATCTGGCAGCAGTGCTCTTTTATTTAGAGAATAGTATAGAATAGCATGGGGACAGGACCCATGGGCAGGCAGAGCTGGTGCGTGGGGACAAGACCCACGGGCAGTCAGAGCTCCTGCTGCTGCCCCGACTTGAGGGTTAGGACTAAATTTAAGGCATAGGTATGTGAGTCATCTCTTTACAAGACAAAGAATATGTAAAAAAGTTAAAATGGTAGATAAGAATCAAACCGGACTGAGTAAATGGCAGAAGTCACCGCTTGAATTTTATCCTCAGCTAAAGACAAAGGAGGATTTGTGGGGGGGAGGGTCAGTCACATGAGGTTGCCAGACAGTAACCAACTTAAGTTCTTGCCTCTGGCATTGACCAAGAGCCTCTAGAGATAAGACCATCCCCCCCTCTTCCTGGCACAGAGAGGGAGGCATCTTCACAGATAGAGGTTTCCCTTAGAAATGTAAATGTTTCCCAACAAAGAGGCAAACAAATTCCACTCCTTGGAGCCTGAATCTCATCTGTAGTTTTAAAACTAACCAGCCTAAAAATCCTCATCATAAGCCATTTTAAAATTAAGCAGCCTAAAAATCCCCATCAGTAATACTGATTTGTGGAGCAATAAACGCAGCCAAGAGGGAAGGCTCACCCTCACCACATGAGAACACTATAAGGGGGAGCATTCTGCTTCATTCTTACTATTTTTGCCCTTTGGAAACTGGGACTCACATTATCACAAATCTCCAAGCTCAGAGTGAATTTAACTGGCTCTCTTCTAATTGGAACAGTTAAGAAAAAGAAACCAAAGCCAAGAGAAAGAAGGGCAGGACCATATATCTCCATAGACAATGTTATACCAGTCCCCCGAGTCACTTCTCACTATCTTAATTGTGGAAATGTGTTCAAATTACATAGTCATCTATTTAAATTACTTGTATTCAAATGCAAAAGTTACCACAAGACTTTGAGGGGGAACATAATCAACAACTAGAAGTAAAATAAGTTTTTATCTGTGGGTGGGAAAATAATACACAAAGTTGCAAATCCCTTCTTGTGTTCTTTAAAATGAGATGACGATACTAACACTGACAGTGTTTTACATGTATTAATTCCTCACCTAGGGTGTCATTTTTATTTCTATTTCATTAATGGAGAAACCAAGGTACTGTGAAGTTCAGCAATTTATTTAAGTTTATATAGTTAGTAAGTGGCAGAGCCGGGATTCAAACCCAAGGTCCTATCTGTCTGTATAATACCATGCACCACTAGTAATTAAGCATTTCCAATGAATAAAGCTTTGTCTCCTAACAGGTTTAGGGAAAATCAAAGAAATATATGACAACCACTGCCTTCAGCTGAGGCTTACAATCGAAAAGGAAATAAAACAATCATTCATTAATTCGATTCATTAAACAAATATTTCTTAATTACATTACGTAAGACACCACAAAGAATAATAAAACAGTCCCTTTCCTTAAAGCAATATTCAAGTTAGAAGGAATCATAGACCTATAGGCAAATCATTAAGATTATTTGAGGGGCCAGCCCCCTGGCCAAGTGGTTAAGCTTGCGCGCTCTTCTTTGGTGGCCCAGGGTTTCATCGGTTCGGATCCTGGGGGTGGACATGGCACCGCTCATCAGGTCACGCTGAGGCAGCATCCCACATAGCAGAGCCAGAAGGACCTACAACTAGAATATACAACTAGGTACTGGGGGGCTTTGGGGAGAAGAAGAAAAAATAAAAAAGAAAGATTGGCAACAAATGTTAGCTCAGGTGCCAATATTTAACTTAAAAAATTCATATTTATTTTAGAAAAGACTATTTGATATCCATAAAATAGAATAAATAAAACTTTGAAAGATACGAGAAGGGTGGAAGAATCCAAGAAGGATTCTCTTTTCAGGGATAAAGAGACATTAGATTGGACCTTGATGGAAGGATCAGATTTTGACAAGCAGAGAGAGAAGGAAAGGTAGGGAGGATGAAGGAAGGAAGGTGGAAGGGAAAGTCTGAGCACAGAGGCAAGAAAGCACGCAACAGACTGCGTCTAGTGACGCAGGGAGATCAGGCTTGTAAATGCATTTGAAACTAGATTAGATGTAGGGGGCATTCTTCATAGCCAGCAAAGAACCATCCGATCTTGTCACTAGAAAGGAGGCATGATGAGAGCTAGAGATTAACCAGTCAGGCGTGTGTGAGAAGAACTGAAGCAGGGACACAGGAAGCTCGAAGGACAATAAGAAAGTTATGGCCAAAAGAAGAGAAACAAGGGTATACATACCCTACCCCATTCTAAAATATTTTTTAAAGTTACAATAATTTAAGCAAAATGATACTTGCACAATAAGAGATCAATGTAACCAAATAGAGGAATTCAGAAATATGATCTAGTACAGTGGTTCTCAAATTTTTTGGTCCAGAGCCCTTTGACACTCTTAAAAGTAACTGAGGGTTCCCCCAAACTGAGACGTTTAAGAAAACTTATTTAATCTTAAAAAAATAAGAAACTCATTACCTGTCAATATAAGGGTTTTTTTTAAAGATTTTACTTTTTTCCTTTTTCTCCCCAAAGCCCCCCAGTACATAGTTGTATATTCTTCGTTGTGGGTCTGTCTAGTTGTGGCATGTGGGACGCTGCCTCAGCGTGGTTTGATGAGCGGTGCCATGTCCACACCCAGGATTCGAACCAATGAAACACTGGGCCACCTGCAGCGGAGCGCGTGAACTTAACCACTCGGCCACGGGGCCAGCCCCAAATTTTCTTTTTTTTTTTTTCTTTTTTTTGAGGAAGATTAGCCCTGAGCTAACCACTGCCAATCCTCCTCTTTTTGCTGAGGAAGACAGGTCCTGAGCTAACATCCATGCCCACCTCTCTCTACTTTATACTTGGGATGCCTACCACAGCATGGCTTTTGCCAAGTGGTGCCATGTCTGCACCCGGGATCCAAACTGGCAAACCCTGGGCGACCAAGAAGCAGAACATGCGAACTTAACTGCTGCGCCACCGGGCCGGCCCCTCAATATAAATATTTTTAAGACAAATAACCTGATCTCCCAAAATAAAAAAAAAATTGTGAGAAGATTGGTACGTTTTACATTTTTGCAAATCTCTTTAATATCTGGCTTAAGAGGACACTGTTGTTTTGGTTGAAGTATATGAAGAAATCCAGCTTCACAGAGTAGCTGGAAAAGAGAAGCATTTTTTTTTTTATTGAGTTAATGATAGGTTACAATCTTGTGAAATTTCAGTTGTACATTAATGTTTGTCAGTCATGTTGTAGGTGCACCACTTCACCCTTTGTGCCCACCCCCCACCCCACCTTTCCCCTGGTATCCCCTAAACTGTTCTTAGTCCATAATTTTAAATTCCTCATATGAGTGGAGTCATACACAGATTATCCTTCTCTCGCTGGCTTATTTCACTTAACATAATTCCCTCAAGGTCCATCCATGTTATTGCAAATGGAATGATTTTGTTCTGTTTTACAGCTGAGTAGTATTCCATTGTATACATGTACCACATCTAAGAGAAGCATATTTTAACAGCCTTTTCAGATAATTGTGGATATTCTTCAATACTACAGTAAAACTTGACAAATGGCAGTTTCTTAAATATTTGTTGCAATGTACAACCTGAAACTATGTCACAGAAATTTTCACACTCTATTATTTTAAAATCCATTGGTCTATCTTGCAGAATGAATGAACTTCTTACTCATGCATGATTTTGAACTTGCAGATCACTTAAAAGGGTCTGGGAAAACTTTATCCATACCTGGGCCACAGTTTTGAAAACCACTGCCCTCATATAAATAACATTGTGGTATATAATCACTGTGGCAGTAAATAAAGCCTGGGGCAACAGTGTGGGGAGGATTCTTACCCTTACTTTATATAAAAATATAATTCAAATAGATTGAGGAATTAACTATTTTAAAAGTTAAAAGTAATCACAAAAATATTACAAGAAAACAGAGTTGACCAGTGGTGTGCAGGTAAATGTTTAACAGCTAGTTCCTCAGGAAAAAAAGACAGATTTGTAGTGCTTGTCAATTTCCGTGGTGTAAAAATCCCCATCGTGGCCAATTTCAAACTACCAAGGTGATGGCACTTAACGTGAAGTTGCAGAGAGGTGTGCAACATGAGCTCCTGCGAGCCAGCACAAGCACACCACTGCAGGTGATTTTCGGATTTCTTTTTGGAAAAGGATTTTCTAAACATAAAGCAATGGCAGAAATCTCAAAGAAATAAGATTAGTAGATTTTACCACACATAAAATTTTAACACTTTAAATGCCCCCAAAGTAACAAAAACAAAATTCAAAGACAAATTAGGGCATTCTGCTTCCAGTAGCAGTAGAGTAGCTTATATTGAACTGATTCACTTGCTGATAAGAGTTATAGACTCTGAACAAAACATTGGGGGAAAAAAAAAACTCTTTGAAGGCACTGGAGAGCAATCCAAAGCAGGCAGAAACTAGAGCGGGCACGACCCCGGAAAGAAGGAAAGCAGTTCTCCCTCGTCCCTTCCTCATCAATTGGGAGAGGAAAGCAAGGTAGGTGTCTGAGGCTGGTAGGAAGGGAGAAGGCACAGTGTCCCATAGCAGGGTGTCAGAGGATCAAGAGAAGGGTCAACCAAGTAGGAGGGCTCGAGATATCAGAGATACCAGTATGACACGGCTGCTGGGAGTGCAAACTGGTGCAGCCACTATGGAAAACAGTATGGAGACTTCTCAAAAAACTAAAAATAGAAACACCATATGATCCAGCTATTCCACTTCTGGGTATTTATCCAAAGAACATGAAAATACTAATTCAAAAAGATATATGCACCCCTATGTTCATTGCAGCATTATTCACAATAGCCAAGACTTGGGGGCAACCCAGGTGTCCATGAATGGATGACTAGATAAAGAAGATGTGGTATATACATACACACACAATGGAATACTACTCAGCCAAAAAAAAAGTGCCATTTGCAACAACATGGATGGACCTTGAGGATATTGTGCTAAGCAAAATAAGTCAGACAGAGAAAGACAAATACCATATGATTTCAGTCATATGTGGAAGACAAACAAACAAACAAGCACACAGATAAGGAGAACAGATTGCTGGTTACCAGAGGGGAAGGGGATGGAGGGAGGGCAAAAGAGGTAGAGAGGCACATACGTGTGGTGATGGATAAAACTAGGCCATTGGTGGTGAACATGATGCAGTCTATACAGAAGCTGAAACACAATGTATACCTGAAACACACACAACGCTATAAACCAATATATGACCTCAGTAAAATAATTAAAAAACCCTGCTAGAATTATAAATAGAAAAGTGAAACTTACAAGCTAAACTTAAAAGCCTAAGAAAGGAATAGACTTTTAATTTGAAATTTTAAAAACTGACTATTCATTATTTAAATCGGGAGCGTATCTCTGAACAGTCTTTCCTGCATACGGAACCAGGCTCCAGGACAGCAAAAGATTCACATCAATGGGCGTGGCAGGTTTTTTTCTTAAGTGGCTATAAATTCCTTGCCACTTCTCTCATGGAGAGGTGGAGCTTGTGTCCCGGGCATCCTCAATCTGGCCAGACTTGTAACTGCGTCAATCAACAGAGTATGACTGCAGTGACATTACGTGACTTCCAAGGCCAAATCATAAAAGCATGCAGCTTCCACCTGGTTCTTTTGGAATGCTCACCCTCGGAACACTCCATTTTAGGACGTTCCTTCTCAGAATACAGCTGCCATGCTGAGAGGGGTCTAAGACACATGGAGAGGCCATAAGAAGGTGCTCCTGAACATATTCCCAGCTGAGTCTAGCTTTTAAGTCACCCCAGCCTAGGCGCCACCCATAGGTGTTGCTATGGACTAAAGTTTATGTCCCTCCCCTTCCAATTCATGTGTTGTGTTGAAACCCTGACCTCCAATGTGATGGCATTAGGAGGTGGGGCCTTTGGGAGGAAACAAGTTTGAGGTCATGACTGTGGAACTCTCATAATGGGATTAGCGTCCTTATAAGAAGAGGAAGAGAGATAATAACTCTCTCTCTCTCTGTGTACGTGTGTGTGCTCACACAAAGAAGAGGTCATGTGAGCACACAGCAAGATAATGGCTATCTGCAAACCAGGAAGAGAATCTGCTGGCACCTTGATCTTGGATTTCTCAGCCTCTAGAACTGTGAAAATTAAATGTCCCTTGTTTAAGCCCCCCAGTCTATGGTATTTTGTTACAGCAGCCCAAGCTGACTAGGACAACCCCACCATTTCAGACAGCCAGGCCATTAGAGATAGCCCAGCTGAGGCCCCAGACATGAGCAGAGACAAGCAAGCCGTACCTACTTGCCCTGTCAGAATTTCTGACTTACAAAATCCTAGAGCATAACAAAAGGCCTGTTGTTTTATGCCACTGAGTTTGGGGGTGGTTTGGTAGAAGCAACAGACAACCAAATCAGAACTTTAAAGATGAGTCCTCTGTATTGGTTCTAGATTATCTGGAATTTGTTTTCAGAGCTGCTTAGATTTAAAGGTATTAATGATCCTGTTGCCAGTGGTTAAAAAAAAAAAAGAAAGAAAGAAAGAAAAGCACTGCCATGCACTGGTAGTCCATGGCATGCAGTGGCAAAACAGAAAGCAAGACTTCGGTGACCAAGCAGCTGCTGCCAGAGAACATTTTAGTGAAATAAAGAGGTATAGTGGGGTGTGTTGGTTGCTTTTAAGTGCACTGAAGAAATGATCAGCTTAGGCCTTTAAATTCCCACCTTAAGGTCTAGGTAAGGGACCAGAAAGTTTTCATGACTTCCCTAAAAGAAATCCTTATCTTCCATGGTCACAGGGCTGAAAATTCTGAAACCAAACTCAAAATTTAACTCTGTGATTGGGTCGATTACAGCACAAACTGCATGCCCAAACTTGTATGGTCTCCTGTGTTAAAGTCAGGGCAAATGACTGAGAAGGAAAGGGACCTTGAAAATTGCACTGGGGATACATGGTCAGATTCCAATGAAGCTGGGGACTTCAAACCCCTAAATACTACTGAGCCTTCCCTACCAATAGCATCAGCCCTTCCTCCCCTGCTGAGGAGGCTAGATTCCCCTTGCTTGAAGAACCAGTAATGGGTTCCCCTGAAGTAAATACCTTCTGGGGAACTGCTGACCTACCCCTACTCTCTCTCATTGCTTCTACATCTATAAGCAGACCCAAGTTTCAACTGCCATAACAGCCTTCCATAGAATTCTCCATCAGCTCCCATAATTGCATAAGGTCTAATTCTATATCATCATAGTCATTCTGCTTCTCTGATCAAATCCTGCCTAATACATTAGGCGCATGGGAGGTAGTTAGAAAAGTTCATTTGATGAGAGGGGAAAATAAACAGGAAGAAAAGGAAAACACACACCTAGAAATAAGAGCAGAGCATGTTACAGTTACAAACATGTTACATGTTACAAAATCAATCAGGAACTGTTTCTTTCACACGGACCCACTTACTATTTTTGGAGGAACATAGTTTGGATTTGTGCTTTTGGCTATTGAGAGTCGTAATATCCGGGGGGAAGGATCAGAGACTCGAGGAGACTCTCTTGTGAAGGAATCACTGAAGGGCCTATATGCAAATAGAACATGAAATAGTATAATCATGGGAGAAAAAATAACTGCACTTTTCATTGGTATAATCAATCTCCAATCAATTATATACATTGTTTCCATCTTAGGATCATCTTTTCCCATAACCATTAGTGCCCTTCCTACCAGACTGGTGTAAAATTTTTTTACTATGATCCACAGTAAGAAGTACATTTTATATGGTGATACAATATATGCAAATCTGTGTGTGTGTGTGTGTGTGTGTGCGCGTGCGCGCACACGCGTTTATGTTTGGGTGTATCTGAAGCAAAATTATCACGAAACAATGCTTTCCCTGGGTAACGTATTCCGATTTTTAAAATTTCACTTAAAAAAAACTGAATCAATTTCTTGATCCACTGATAGGTTGAGACTTGTAGTTTAAAAAGCACTTCACTTCGTTCCAAAATCTCATTAAATCCCTGAGATAAAAATTCCAGTCACTACCAAGGACCCCTCTGTGATGGCCAGTCTCCTCTGTACCACAGTTTGAAAGACTGCAGCTCATAACTCCCAGAAGCTTGGCCAATTTTCACAGGCTGTTCCCCACATATTCCTTTCCCGAACAAAAGACTGCCAACCTAAAAAGCTAACATGGAGAAAGTTTTTCTCAGATAAATATATGATTACCCTCTAGGAGCAGTTTGTGTTAGTCTTTTAAATTAATAAATAATTAACATACATAGAATTTGCCCTTTTAAAGTGTGCAATTCAGTGGTTTCTAGCATACTGACAAAGCTGTGCAACCATTTTCACTATTAAAATTCAGAACACTTTCCATCACCCCAAAGAGAAACCCCATACCAATTAACAGTCCCTCCTCCTTACTCCACCCCTCTCCACCCCACCAGGAACCACTAATCTATTTTCTGTCTCTATGGATTTGCCTGTTCTGGATATTTCAAATAAAAGGAATCATACAAATATGTAGCCTTCTGGCTTCCTTCACTTAGCATGTTTTTAAGATTCATGTATTAGTACGTTATTCCTTTTTATGGCAGAATAATATCCCATTGTATGGATTTGCCTCATTTTGTTTATCCACTCATCCACTGATGAACATTTTAGTTGTTTCCACTTTTTGGCTATTACGAAATGCTACTATGAATATTCATGTACAAGTTTTTGTGTGAACATATGTTTTCTATTCTCTTGGGTACATGCCTAGAAGTAGAATTGCTGATCATGTGATAAGTCTATTTTTAACATTTTGAGGAACTAGAAAACTGTTTTCCATATAAACTGCATCATTTTACATTCCCACCGGCAATGTATGAGGGTTTCAATTTCTCCACATCCTCATCAACATATTATTTCCTGTTTATTAATTATTATTGTTATTCTAGAAGGTGTGAAGTATCTTGTGGTTTTAATGTGCATTTCCAAGATGACTAACGATATTTTGCATCTTTTCACATGCTTCTTGTTCATTTGTATTTCTTCTTTGGAGAAACGTCTATTCAAATCCTCTGCCCATTTTCTAAATTAGGTTGTATTTTTCCCTACAGTTCAAAGAATTCTTTATATATATTCTAAATAATCTCTTATCAGATATATGATTTGTAAATATTCTCTCCCAGCTTATGAGCTGTCTTCTCACTCTCTTGATAGGGTCCTTCGATGCACAAAAGTTTTTACTTTTGATGAAGTCCAAATTATGAATTTTTTTCTCACATGTGTTTTGGTGTCATATCTAAGAAACCATTGCCGAGGTCACAGAGATCTATGCCTATGTTCTCTTCTAAAACTTTTGTACTTTTAGCTCTTATGTTTAGGTATGTGATCCATTTTGGATTAATTTTTGTGAATGGTGTGAAGTAGGGGTCCAACTTCATTCTTTTGCATGTGGATATCCAGTTATCCCAGCACCACTTGTTTAAAAGACTATTCTTCCCAATTAAATTGTCTTAGTAGCCTCATTAAAAATCAGTTGACCATAAATATAAGGGTTCATTTCTGGACTCTCAATTCTATTCCACTGATGTGTATGTCTATCCTTATGCCAGAAGCACACGGTCTTGATGACTGTAGCTTTTTAGTAAGTTTTAGCACCAGGAGCTGTAAATCTTCCACCTTTGCTCTCCTTTTTCAAGATTGCTTTCTGTTATTCTAGGTCCCTTTCATTTCTATATGAATTTTAGAATCACCTTGTCAATTTCTATCAAAAAAGGCAGCTGGAATTTTACTGGGGATTACACTGAATTTGTAGATCAATTTGAAGAGAATTGCCATCATAAGAAACTTAAAACTTCCAATCCATTAACAGAGAATGTCTTTCCATTTATTTAAATATCCAATTTCTTTCAACAATGTTTGTAGTTTTTTGGGGGGTTTTTTTTGGTGAGGAAGTTTGGCCCTGAGCTAACATCTGGGCCAATCCTCCTCGTTTTTTTTTCTTTTCTCCCCAAAGCCCCAACACAGTTGTATATCCTAGTTGCAGATCATTCTAGTTCTTCTATGTGGGATGCCACCACAGCATGGCTTGATGAGTGGTGCATAGGTTCGCACCCAGGATCCGAACCAGCAAACCCTGGGCCGCCGAAGCAGAGTGCATGAACGTAACCACCTGGCCATGGGGCCAGCCCCCCGGTTTGTAGTTTTTAGTGTACATGTCTTGCACTTCTTTTGTTAAGTTTATTTCCAAGTATTTTGTTCTTTTATTATTTTTAATTGTAGTAAAATACACATAACATAAAATTTACCATCTTAGCCATTTTTAAGAGTACAGTACAGTAGTGTTAAGTGTATTCACACTGTTGTGCAACCAATCTCCAGAACTCTTTTATCTTGCAAAACTCTATACCCATTAAACAACTCATTTCCCCCACTCCATAGTCCCTGGCCACCACCATCCTACTTTCTGTCTTTATAAATTTGACTACAGTTGGTACGGCATATAAGAGGAATCATCCAGTATTTGTCTGTTTGTGACTGGCTTATTTCATTTAACATAATGTCCTCAAGCTTCATCCACATTGTAGCATGTATGCGAATTTCCTCCCCTCTTAAAGCTGAGTAATATTCCATTACATGCACCATTTTGTTCATTTTGATGTTATTGTAAATGGAATTGTTTTCTTAACTTCATTTTCAGATCGTTCATTGCTAATGGATAGATATGCAATTGGTTTTTTTGTACATTAATCTTGGATTCTGTGCCTTCCTGAACTCATTTATTAGTTCTAATAGTTTTTATGTGCACTCTTTAAAATTTCCGATATACAAGATCACGTCATCTAGAGCAGAGATAGTTTTACTGCTTCCTTTACAACCTGAATGCCTTTTATTTCTTTTTCTTGCCTAAGTGCCCTAAGAATCTCCATTATGATATTGAACAGAAGTGATGAGAGCTGACATCCTTGTCTTATTCTTGGTCTTAGGAGGAAAGCATTTAATTTTTCACTACTAATTATGATGTTAGCTGTGGGATTTTTGTAGATGCCTTTGAGCATATCGAGGAAGCTCCCTTCTATATATCTAGTTTGTGACCATTATTATCATAAATGTGTGTTGAATTCTGTCAAATGATTTTTCTGAGTCTACTGAGATGATCATGTGGTTTGGGGGTCTTTTATTCTAGTAATTTGGTATATTACATTGATTTTAGTATGTTGAACCCAACATACTCTTGCATTCCTGGGATAAATTCAACTTGGTCATGGTGTAGAATTATTTTTATATGTTGTTGGATTTGGCATACTAGTATTTTGGTGTGGATTGTTGCAGGTATATTTGGATTTGGTTTGATAGTATTTTGGTATGGGTGGTTACATGTATAAGAGATACTGTCTTTTGTTTTCTTCTCTTCTAATGGCCTTTTCTGGTTGTCGTATCAGGGTAACACAGACCTCATGGAACGAGTTTGGAAGTGTCCTATTTTTTGGAAGGGTCTAAAGGATTGGTGTTAGTTCTTCTCTGAATACAGCATAGAATTCATCCATGAATACATCTGGTCCTGAGCTGTTTGTGGCAAATTTTAAAAATTACTAATTCAATCTCTTTACTTGTTATAAGTCTGTTGAGATTTTTCTATTATTGAGTCAATTTCAGTAGTTGGTCTGTCTAGGAATTTGTCCATTTCATCTAGGTTATCTAATTTGTTGGCCTTACAATTGCTCATAGTAATCCCTTATAATGTTTTTTTATTTCTATAAGGTCAGGACTTTATAGAAATGACCCCTTAGAAAGATCTCGTCTTTCGTTCCTGATTTTAGTGATTTGAGTCTTTTCTATTTTTGTCTTGGTCAGTCTAGCCAAAGGTTTGTTTTGTTTATCTTTTCAAAGAACCAATGTTTGCTTTTGTTGATTTTATGTTTTTCTAGGTTCTATTTCATTTATTTCCACTCTAATCTTTATTATTTCCTTCCTTCTGCTTGTTTTGAATTAGTTTGCTTGTTTCTATTTGTAATTTCTTAAGATGGAAGATTAGTTATGATTTGAGATCTCTTTTCTTCTTTAATATAGGCATTTATAGCTAAAATTTCCCAGTAAGCACTATTTCATCTGTGTCTCATAAGTTTGGTATGTCGTGCTTTCATTTTTATCAAAGTGTTTTCTTCTTTGACCCGTTGTTGTTCTTCCCTGTGATTTCTTTGACCCATTGTTTGCTTAAGAGTGTATTTAATTTCACATATTTTTGAATTTTCCAACTTTCCTTCTGCTATTAGTTTCTAATTTCATTCCATTGTGGTCAGAGAACTGATTTTGTATGAATTCAATTCTTTTAAATTTATTGAGACTCATTTTATGACCTAATATATGATCTATCCTAGACAATGTCCCGTGTGCACTTGAGAAGAATGTGTGTTCTGCTATTGTTGGATGGAAAGTTCTATAAATGTCTGTTAGTGTTTATCAAGCCTCCTATTTCCTTGTTGATCTTCCGCTTGTTATCCTTTCCTTTATTGAAAGTAGGGTTTTGAAGAATCCAACTATTATCATTGAATTATCTATTTCTCTCTTCAGTTCTACCAAGTTTTGTGTCATTTATTTTGGGGCTCTGTTCTTAGGTGCATGTATGTTTATAACTGTCATATTTCCCTAATGAATTGACCATTATTATAAAATGCTCCTTTTTTTTTTTTTTGAGGAAGATTAGCCCTGAGCTAACATCTGCCATCAATCCTCCTCTTTTTTGAAGAAGGTTGGCCCTGAGGTGGCATCTGTGCCCATCTTCCTCCATTTTATATCTGGGATGCCACCACAGCATGGCTTGACAAGCGGTGTGTAGGTCTGTGCCTGGGATCCAAACCAGTGAACCCCAGGCCACCAAAGCAGAACATGCAAACTTAACTGCTATGCCACCAGGCCGGCCCTGTAAAATGCCCATTTTTGTCTCTAGTAACAATGTTTGTCTTAAAGTCTATATTGTCTGATATCAATATGGCCACTCTAGATCTTTTTTGGTTGGTTTACATAGTACATATCTTTTTCCATCCTTTTACTTTCATCCTATTTGTATCTTTGATTCTAAAGTATGTTGCCTTGTAGATGGCATATTGTTGAGTACATGTTTTTTAATCCATTCTATCAATCCATGCTTTCTGATTGGAGTGTTCAATTCATTTATGTTTAATGTAATTACTGATAAGCTAGGATTTATGCCTGCCATTTTGCTGGGGGTTTTTTATATGTGTTACATCTTTTTTGTTACTCTATTCCTCCATTCCCCCCTTCTTTTGTATAAGGTATTTTCTAGTGTACCATTTTAATTCCCTTGTTATTATTTTTACTATATTTAAAAAATTATTTTCTTAGTTGTTCCCCTGGACATCTTAACTTACAACAATCTAGCTGGATTAACACAACTCCATTCCCTCCCCTTCTCTTGTGCTGTTGTTTTTTGTTTTTTGGGTTTTTTTGAAGAAGATTAGCCCTGAGCTAACACCTGCTGCCAATCCTCCTCTTTTTGCTGAGGAAGACTGGCCCTGAGGTAACATCCATGCCCATCTTCCTCTACTTTATATGTGGGACACCTACCACAGCATGGCTTGACAAGCAGTGCCATGTCTGCACCCAGGATCTGAACTGGTGAACCTCAGGCCGCTGAAGAGGAATGTGCACACTTAATCATTGCACCACCGGGCTGGCCCCTGTGCTGTTTTTCTTAAATACATTGTATGCTCACCAACACAGATTTACAATTATTGCTTTATGCAGTTGTCTTTTAAATCAGGTAGGCAAATAAAAGAGTTACAAATAGAAAAATACATTTATATTGTCTTTTATATTTACTTATGTCGTTAGCTCTCTTGGTGCCCTTTATTTCTTCATGTGGATTCAAGTTATTGTCTAGTGTCCTTTCATTTTAGCCTGAAGGACTCCCTTTAGTATTTATTGTAAAGCAGGTCTGCTGGTGATGAATTTTCTCAGTTTTTGTTTATCTGAGAATGTCTCAATTCCTCCTTCATTTTGAAGGATAGTTCTGTTAGCTAAAGTATTCTTGGCTGACAGGTTTTTTCTTTCAGTGCTTTAAACATGTCATTCCACTGCCTTCTGGCTTCTCTGGTTTCTGATGAGAAATCACCTGTTAATCTTATTGCAGATCCTTTGTATGTGATGAGTCTCTTCTCTCTCGCCGCTTTCAAGATTCTCTCTTTGTCTTCGGCTGTGCAGAGTTTGATTGTGATGTGTCAAGGTGTGGATCTCTTTGAGTTTATCATACCTGACGTTTGTTGAGTTTCTTGGATGTGTAGATTAATGTTTTTCATCTAATTTGGAAAGTTTGGGGCTATTATTTCTTCAAATATTCCTTCTGCCCCTTTATCTCTCTCTTCTCTTTATGGGATTCCCATTATGGATATGTTGATACTTTTGATGATATCTCACAGGTCTGTGAGGCTTTGTTAATTTTATTTCATTCTTTTTTCTTTCTGCTCCTTAGACTCGATAATCTCAGTTGACCTATCTTTAAATGTGCTGACTTTTTTCTTCTGACTGCTCAAATCTGCTGTTGAGCCCCTCTAGTGAATCAGCTAAAATATATATCACAAAGCCCGAGCTCACGTAGGTCACTTATTGGAGAGCCCTGTGTGTCTTCAGTAAGCACTTGCTTCCTCCCCACCCTACAATTCTAACAAGCTTGGTTATCCATTCCCAAAGTACAAAACGTAAAAAAAAGAGGCTAGTTAGAGACTATTCCTCTGACAAAAAGAGAAATTACAAGAAAATTATGAGAAGTAAATATCTCATAATCTCAAAGCATAGGCGTCAGACCAGTTAGCCTAAGAAAAACTGTGCTGTGTACTTAAATAGCTCCTGAGAGGTTTTCTATATTAAAGTATAATAGTCAATGTTCATAATAAAGATCTCAATCCAATGAACAACGGTTACATGTATGTTCAATAGCAGAAAAGTCTGCTTAGGAAAGGTGAGAAACAAACTTTCAAAAATATAAAAAGTTTTAGCACTCCAGGGGGTTTCACTTAGATGAAACATCAAAGTGAGTTCTCTCAAAAAGTGCTGACCGATAAAGTATTCCTCTGGCTTTTATATAGAGATGTACAACTACCAAATTTATAAGTGTATTTTAACTAAGTCAGCAGATTTTACTGAATGAACTGATAAATAAGCAAGTGAAGAAATTTTGTGGGAGGAATTGGGCCTCTTTTGCTGGATTCTATGATGGAAAAAGACTCCCGTTCAACCTCTCTCTGAATGCAGGAATCTTTTCTAAAATCCACATAAAGTCACTATTCCAGCCTGTGCTTCAATACTTTCAGGGACTGGGGTGGAGAAGGCAGCTGACTTTTCCAGATAAACGTTTCCATTGCTGGATAGCTAGTCAGGAAGATTTTCCTACACTTAGCTGACATCTGCTGCTCTGTAAATTCTTTGTTCTAAATCCAGTTCTAGGATCAACAAAAAGTAATTTTACTTCTATCTTCTCTTCCCCTGTCAGATGCAAACATTTGAACATGGCTATCACCGCTTCCTTGGTCTCCTCTCTAAGCTAAACACGTCATTGCTCTTAGCTATTTTTCATACAACAAAGTTTCCAGAAGCCTCAACATCTCATTCATCTTCTGAATAGTCTCAAATTTCTTATCAGTTTCTTAAAGTATAACATCTATATGTGGAAACACATATCTAAGGTGTTCCTACTAAAGTAGTGTACAGTAGTACTACCCCCTTGCTGTAATTGTACACTGTGCATATTCCATTAATGCAACCTAACATTTCTCCAGCAACCACATCACAATCTCAGCTTCCATGTGAAAGGTATCAACTAAGTTGTCATTTAAAGACAAGGGCAAATTCAACATCCAAAGCAAAAGAAAGAGCATTTGAAAAGTCACAGAGGCATCAGAGAACATCGAGTTCTACAAATTGCAAAAACCTGTAATGTTTCACTTGTAAATTTCCCTTTAACTGGCTGACAATGGTAAATTTAGCGTGAATTTTAGCTTCACCACAATTTGAGTCAAATGTAATTAGTGATGATGACCTTCTGATTACCTACAATTGCTGCAAATACTTGATTTTTGACCCTGATCCTTTGAAACACAAGTGGACTTTTAGTTTATGAAATTGCATACCCTAAAAGAACAACAATATTGTGACAGTTAACCAAATTAGATTAGAATTTATGGACATTCTCAAGGTACTCCACCTATTCACTAGATACTCTTTCTTGAATCTTTTGGGCTGTGCCAGCTTCTGGATCCTTTTGGAGGGTTGGCTAAACAGGGCAGCAGGAGGGATCGGCCAGATTACAGAGTCTCTACCGCAGCTGAGGTAATATTGAGCCCTGCAAGTTGCAGAAGAGTAAAGAATTAAGTGAAACGAGCATGAATTTAAATTATCATACTAACTTCCAACATTGAGCCCTGGTCTACGGGAGCAGGTATGACAGTCTACCCCTTTACTACTGAGCTATTTTCCACACGAGGAGAAATTAGATACGGTTATAGCCATCAAGTTTTCAGCTGGCTTCTAATATCCTATTCCAAAACAGATAATTTTCTGTAATAAATAAATTGCATCTTCTAACTAGACCAAAAATACACCGATGAAAAGAGAAAATTTGCTGCTTTTAAAACCAAATACTTGGGCCAGCCCGGTGGCGCAGTGGTTAAGTGTGCACCTTCCGCCTCAGCGGCCCAGGGTTTGCCGGTTTGGATCCAGGTTGTGGACATGGCACCGCTTCACAAGCCATGCTGTGGTAGGTGTCCCACATATAAAGTGGAGGAAGATGGGCATGGATGTTACCTGAGGGCCAGTCTTCCTCAGCAAAAAGAGGAGGATTGGCAGCAGATGTTAGCTCAGGGCTAATCTTCCTCAAAAAAAAAAAACCCGAATACTTTCTTAGTCTCTAAGAGATAATCACTAGAGACTGGACAGATATTAAAAGGAAAATAAGAGAATACAGGAACAACTTTACACCAACAAATTTTAAAACTTAGATGAAATGGATAAATTCTTTGAAAGACACATACTACCAATGCTCATTTAGAGAGAAATAATCTGAAGAGCCCTTGACAAGAGTTTAGCTAAGCTACTCCATGGTATTGTTGTCTCAGCAGCCACTTTGTTTGGCTGAGGAGTCCACAGTGACAAACTGACACTGGCTGCTCATGTAAGCACATGCCCTAATGGCAGCCCACAGAATCACAAGTAAAAGTGCATTCCCGATATGACTTCCCCAACAGCCCTTGTGGCCAACGGTCTCCCCTGACTTCCAATGCCTTCCCCTTACACACACCTTAGATAAGACTCCCAAGGAGCTTACCAAAGTCCTACTCTTTTGGTTTGAATTGACCAATCTGGCCTTAGCCCAGGAACCCCAAAGCACTCCACCTGGGACTCTAATTAAGGCATATGCCCCAGTTCCTGCCTCTCTCTGTCTGCACTCTGCCTTGACCTCCCTGTGTAGCCCCTTGAAATGTACCAGGTACTTCCTCTAGGACTTGTGCATATTAAATTTCTCTATTTCAGTTTCTCTTGTGGTCTGTTGAACCGTGGCCCTGCACTCCACTTAACAAGTGTTAATTTGACAAATTCATAACAGCTCCATATCTATTAAATAAATTGAATTTATAGTTAAAAACCTTCCCACTAAAAAACTCCAGGCCCAGATGACTTCATGGGTGGATTCTAGCAAATGTATAAAGAAGAAATAAATATCAATTCTATACATTTTTGAATTGATTCTAAGAGGACAGCATTACCATAAATAAAGATATTACAAGAAACAAAGACATTACCAAAAAACTGCAGACCAATATCCCTGATGAACATAAATGCAAAATTCCTAAAGTTTTATTGGAACACAGACACGCTCAGTTTACACAATGTCTATGGCTGCTGTCCCGCTACAGTGGCAGAGTTGGGTAGTTGCAACTTTGAGGCCAACTTTACCATCCAGCCCCTTCCAGAAAAAGTTTGCTGACTTTTGACTAAAGTTGTATATTTAAATAGATAGAGAAATGGCCACCTCAATTATCTTGGACACCAAACTTCAGATAAATAATAGTATCTTCACCTTTTTCTTGTTACTTTAACCTCCCTTACAGCCTGCACCCATCCCCCCACCCACAGTCTTTCCTCAAAGAGCCAACCAGCAGAAAGCTTAGTCATTCAACAAACATGCCCTAATGCCATTCTTACTTGTAGATGTAGTAATTATCTCATGGTAATCAAACCCATGAGTGGTATACAAAATTCATGCACAAATAAGTTCACCCACTACAGAGTTCTAGATGGTACATATCCTTGCTCAATACTCTAGTTTTATTGAAAAAAATCGAAATCCTGATAAGCCAAAACGTTGTAAGATATAAGTCCACAAGAGCTAAATATTAGACCATACTCTGGAAAAGTTTTACGGTAGCATCAGATTGGAAACACACATAGAATCCCTAATCCTCAATACGTTTTGACTATAGATTGGACAATTTCTGGCTTTTAGATAAAAGGGCTGGGTTATGTATTCATTTTCCCCAGAGACTCCGATGAAGTAACTTGATCACACACCGACACTGACCTGTTAGGGACATATCGGTGGGAGACTTCCTTCGGCTGGGCAAGGTCCTCGAGTCTTCTGGTCAGCTGAGCCTTCAGAGCACCCTGGGAAATAGGGCGAATAGGATCTTGATTCCCCCAAAACAGTTTCCTGTTAGAAAGCAGAAAAATAAAACGGTAAGGAACTCACTACTAACGGACAACTTAGAAATGGCTCTCGACGGCTTCTGTCCTGATTCTACCTCACATCCAGAACACTCTCTGTGAAGTCTTACAATTTCCAGGCATCAGAAACAGATAAACTACATATGGAAGTTACAATAAGAATAAAATAAGACTGTTTCAGCTACTGTGTTAAAACATGGTGACCAAAAAATGAACCTAATAGAGAGAGTTCTGTCTCTGCCATCATGTCATTAACACTGTAATTTATAATCAGGTCCGACATAAAATGGGCATGCCACCTATCTACACTGCTCTCCCCCTTTGGATAAAGCCCTGTACCAGATCTGAAAATAAAATAGCATCAGGGTAATCTTAATCGCTTCCATTTGTGGAATATTTACTGTGGACCAGGTATGGGGCTAAGTGCTTTATAGACATCAGATCTTTTAGTCTCAACAGCCCTGTGAAACAGGTATGATTATTGTGCAGGGGGTGAAGAGAAAACAAGAAATGAGCCCAGGAGTAACCTGAAAAAGCTTCATGGAAGAAAGTAAAAGGCACAGACTCCCAGAAATGACGCACATTCCATGTTGGGGTAACCAGGAGAAATGGAGATAATCAAGCATTAGACAAAGCATGTCTGGGCAGAGGCAGAAAAGTCATGTTGGGAAGTAATTAGCATTGTTGGAATGGGTGGGGAAGGCAGGAGGCGGCCCTGGAGGCCTGGTCGACGAGTCAGAAAAAGGTACCTGAGTAACCTGAGTTTGCACATAACTGAATTTGTCAACCAATTGAGTTTATTCCTTTAAAAGGCCCTAGCTGTTTTTTTTTTCTTTGTATCTATTTTGGCAGATAATGTTTCTTTCTTTACTCTGTAAGCATCAGCCAGAGTCACTATTAGAAATATTAATTAATTAATTAAATCCCCACCCTGTACATTCTGCTGATTCCATTTCCTAAATATGGCTCAAATCTGTCCATTTCTCCTCACTCCCATTGCTATCTCCCTTGTCAGATCCCATTGTCTCCACTCTGTTTTCCACACCACTGCCAGAGTGATCAAGCCATCCCCTTGTTTAAGCTACTTCAAAGGTTTCCACTGGCTTTAGAATGAAGTCCCAACTCCAGACTGTGGCTTACAAAGCTCTCCACAGTTTGGACAAAGAAAGCCTGCCTCACCAGCCTGTACGTTCTTCCAGGGGAGGGACCACATCTTAATCTTTGGGAGATTCCCTCCTTGTATGCTTTAGTGCTGTACACAACAGGGGCACAATCATGGTTTAATGAATGAACGAATAGCAAAAACTGGACCCACCTGATGGTGATGGGACACAGAAATTAGAGAAAATGGGAGGCTAAAGCAGAAGTTGGGGCCTCAGGCGACAAGGGTCAGAGTGGGACTGACAGCGGGAAAGACAATAACTATGCTTCCTAAAGAAAAGGCTGGTGGATAGAGAGGTTAGCACCATGGAAGGGGAGTCAGGAGAGGAAGATTTTGAGAAAAGATGCATGCAATAGATCAAAAAGCATCAAACATAATTTAGACGTCAAAAAGGATGGAAACTGAAAAAAGCAAAAGAAAATAGGATTTGGCCAGGAGAATATCAGCAGTAACAGAAAAAATGAAAAGTATCTTAGGGGTAAACACAAAAGTGCAGGTGAAGAGAGGCTAAGGGGTCAGGGATAGGAAGCAGGGGTGATGGATAATATGCTGGTTTTGTATTCATTATTTCAAATTCAAAGCAAAAGTAACTTTAGACACAACAGTTAAATCAAGTCCATAAAACATGGTCCTGATGATGCCTTCTAGGAACTGAACCCTTTGAGGTTACGAGCTCCTTGAAAATTCTGTCCATAAAAACTAGAAAACACATAGTGTGAACTAAAAGCACTGAGGATTACGTAAAAGACAGGAGATCTGGCTCAAGATAAATTAGAAGAAAAGGATCAGTGGGATGAGAAAGAGCAGAGACTATACAGTCAAGAAAAATGTGGATACAAAGTTCACCAGGAAGATGGAAGACGAACCAGGATGTTAAAGTAGCATATCATGCAGGTAGTTGTTCACTCTACTGTGCCAGCATTTAAAGAGTCACCTATGTTTAGCTGTCACATGGCTAGCAATATCAAGGAAATAAAATTTTAATCTTCTACGGTCCATATGAAGGACTTGACCCCCGAGCATAAGATTCTTACCCATGTCCTACCTGTTTGCTGGATCCATGAAATATAACAAAGTCTGGTGCAATCACACCCTGGAATTCTACAATAGGGAACTAGAAATGTTCTTGAGAGTTCTGTGTTCAGTCATCCCTTTCTGAACAGGAAAATCTCTAGTCTCTAACAGATTTCCAGAGTCAGGAAACACGAAACAGCTTTCATCAGTTTCCTTCCGCAGTGTTACTGTTCTGAAATTCTTATAATGTCTATTATAAAACAAATATTGATTTAGCTTTCATCTCTTTAAACTGGTTTACATACTTGAAGATAGAAGTCAGTCTTTAATCCTTCTTTGCCAGTCTGGCCCACCACAAACTCTTTGAATCTGTCCTCATAGGATCCATCTTCCTTTTAATAATTTCCTTCCTTGGCTTTTGAGGCGCTCTCTTTCCTGATTTCCTTTTGCCTACGCTTTCTCAGCTTCCTTAGGCAGTTCCTCTTTCACAACTTTCACAATGGCCTGTGTCTCAGGGTTCCATCCTCCTCAATATTTTTTTTTAGTACTACTAAATACTGATGATTCCAAAATAGCATCTCCAAGTATCCTCAAGTATTCTCCTGAGTGCTAACTCTGTATTTCCAAATACTTACTGAATGTCTCAAAAGCACCCCCCATGACCAAATGTTCCTTCCTCCCAAATCCATCCCAGTCTTATATTTCCTTTCACAGTTATAACAGCGTTTTCCACTCTATTTCTAAAGATAGAAACCTAGAAATCATATTTGACTCCTCCTCTCCCTCAGACTCTTACATTTCATTTGTCACTAAATTCTGTCCATCTCTGTCTGTTTTGTTTTTCTTTTAAAGATTAGCCCCTGAGATAATATCTGTTGCCAATCTGCTTTTTTTTTTTCTTTTTTTTTTTTTTTGCTGCTTCTTCTCCCCAAAGCTTCCGAGTACATAGTTGCATATTCTAGTTATAGCTCCTTCTGGTTGTGCTATGTGGGATGCCACCTGAGCATGGCCTGATGAGCAGTGCCATGTCAGCGCCCAGGATCCAAACCGGTGAAACCCTGGGCTGCCAAAGCGGAGCGCACGAACTTAAACACTCAGCCATGGGGGCAGCCCCTGTCCATCTCTATCTTGACTCTAACCTTTCTCTTAACCCTTAAGGCCACCGTCTTAGGACAGGCCTTCATTATTTCTCTCCTGCATTATTGTAACAGCCCCAAATCAATCTTCCTGACTCCAGTTCTCCATGCCATCAAAGGGACCATGCCTTTCTAAAACAGTCAGTGCTGTAAATAAATGGGCTTTCTGGGCGACGGACATAGATTCAAATTTCAGTTTTGGTACCTGCAAGCTGGATGAACTTTTCTGAGTTCAATTCCCTAATGAAATCACTCCTTCAGTTTTTCTACTGGTTTCAAATAGGGGTGGGTAGGGAAGAGTGTTTTAAGATTACTGACAGTTCTAGCAATATTTGTTAACACATCTCTTATCAATGTGTACCTCTAATACATGTATATATATCCATCCATGAAAAAGAGAATTTAAAGCATATTATATTTTTAATGTTCAAAAACAAGGCTTTTAAAAATTCAGTTTTTAGATTATAGCAAAGTTTCAGGATACAACATTAATATCCAAATTCTACTGATTTCTTATATACCAACAATGAACAATTGGAATTTGAAGTTAAAAACATAACAGCATTTACACTAGCACCAAAAAATTGTAAATACATAGGTATAAATCTAACAATATATGTACAAGATCTATATAAAGAAGAACTACAAAACTCTGATGAAAGAAATCAAAGAAAAACTGAACAAATGAAGAGACAGTTCATGTTCATGGACAGGAAGACTCACTATTGTCAAGATTTCAGTTCTTCCCAACCTGCTCTATGGATCCAACGCAATCCCAATCAAAATCCCAACAAGTTACTTTGTGGATATCGACAAACTGATTCTAAAGTTTATATGGAGAGGCAAAAGACCCAGAATAGCCAGCCCAATATTGAAGGAGAAGAATACATTCAGAGGACTGATGCCACCTGACTTCAAGACTTACTATAAAGCTACAGTAACCGAGACAGGGTGGTATTGGTGAAAGAACAGACAAATAGATCAATGGGACAAAATACAGATCCTAGAAATAGATCTACACAAATACAGCCAACTAACCTTTGACAAGGGAGTGAAGCCAATCCAATAGAGAAATGATAGTCTTTTCAATAAATGGTGCCAGAAAAACTGGGCATCCACATGCAAAAAAATGAATCTAGACATAAACCTTACACCTTTCACAAAAATTAACTTGAAATGTAACACAGATCTAAATGTAAAATGCAAAACTCTGAAACTTCTAGAAAATAATATAAGAGAACATCTAGGTGACAATGGATTTTACAATGCATTTTTAAGTATGATACCAAAAGCACAATTCATGAAAGAAAAAATTGACAAATTTGACTGCATTAAAATTAAAAACTTTTTCTCTTCAAAAGACACTGCTAAGAGAATGAAAAGACCAGCATATTTGCAAAACACATATCTGATGTCTTAGTTCATTCAGGTTACTATAACAATACCATAGAGGGAGTGGCTTATAAACAACGCAAATTTGTTGCTAACAGTTCTGGAGGCTGGGAAGTCCAAGATTAAAGCATCAGTAGATTTGGCGTCTGGTGAGGACCTGCTTCCTACTTCATAGCCAGGCATCTTCTCACCTTGTCCTCACATTGCAGAAGGGGAGAAGGAACTTTCTGAGATCTCTTTTATAAGGGCACTAACCCCATTCATCAGGGCTCCACCCAGTTGACCTAATCACCTCCCAAAGGTCACCTCCAAATACCATCATATTAGGGATTAGGTTTTAACATATGCATTTTGAGGGGGACACAAACATTCAATCTATTAGCATCTGACTGGTATTCAAAATATACAAAGAACTATTACAATTCAACAATAAGAAAACAAACAACCCAATTAAAAAGTGAGCAAAAGAGCTGAACAGACACTTCACCAAAGATGGCAAATAAGCATACGAAATATGCTCAAGATCATGTCATTAGGGAAATGCAAATTAAAACAATGAGATACCACTATACGCCTATTAGAATGGATAAAATACAAAACATCAAATGCTGATGAGAATGTGGAACAACAGGAACTGTTATTCATTGCTGGTGGGATTGGTACAGACACTTTTGAAGACAATTTAGAAGTTTTTTACAAAGCTAAACATATTCTTACCATATGATGCAGCAATTGCATTCCTAGATATTTACCCAAACGAGATGAAAACTCACATCTATGCAAAACCCTGCCTATGAATGTTCATAGCAGCTTTATTTGTGATTGCCAAAAATTGGAAGCAACCAACATGCCCTTCAACAGATGAATGGAACAGACTGTGGTACAACCAGACAATGGAACATTACCCAGTGCTAAAAAGAAATGAGCTATCATGCAATGAAAAGACATGGAGGAAGCTTAAGCACATACTGTTAACTGAAAAAGTTACATATTGTATGACTTCAACTATATGACATTCTGGAAAAGGCAAAACTATAGATAGAGTAAAAATATCAGTGGTTGTGAGGGGTTCAGAGAGGGAAAGGGATGAGCAGGTAGCGCACAGGTAACTTTTAGGGCAGTGAAACTATTCTGCATAACACTGTAATGGTGGACACATGACATTATGCATTTGTCAAAACCCGTAGAAATATACAACACAAAAAATAAACCTTAATGTAAACTACAGACGTTAGTTAATAATGTGTCAGTATTTCTTCATCAATTGTAACAAATGGGCTACATTAACATAAGATGTTAATAATAAGGGAAACTAGAGGCATGGGTGGTAATATAGAAACCCTGTACTTCTGCTCAATTTTTCTGTGAGCCTAAAACTGCTTTAAAAAATAAAGTCCATTAATTTTTTTAAAGCAATAGGAGATCACAAAAAAAGGAAAAAAAATTCAGCTTTACTCAGGAGCCAAAGAAGAAAAGGGGGAGTCCTATGGCCAAGGGCAGAAGGACAGTGCATCCAGCACGCTGGAGATCCAGAGAACAAGTGTGCTCTGGGCAGAAGCTTAGAGACAGCAGGACCAGATGTTAGAGGCAGGGAAGTTGAACCTGGAGGATGGACACGAGAGTGTCAAAGTGGTTCTCCAATCCGTCTGCCTACTAGAATCATCTGGGAAGCTTTTAACACTCCTGAAGCCTAGGCTGCACCCCAGACCAAGTAAATCAGGATTTCTGGGGACAGGACCCAGGCATCAGTCAGTTTTACATGTCCCCAGGTGATTCCAATGTGCAAACAAATTTGAGAACCACTGAACTAAGGTTAGCCTTCCATACGTTGACTCAACTGAGGTGACAATATTGTTTCAGTGGATCTAGTTGAGCAGAGAGGTGGATATACCTGGGATGCAGGGTTAGTGGGAAGGTAAGAATAATATTTATCTATTTAATATAAGCAACACAATCATCACAAACAAGACTATACAACATTGCCTTACCTATCTGGGGCTCCCCATTGTTTTTTAGGCCTAGAAAGATCTTGGATTCTCTTCCTAGAAAAAAAACTAACAAACACCAGCTGGTTAACTCAAAGAGAATGCTTAACAAATATAGTTACATCAGATGACTCCTACTCAAATAAATCCCAAGGGGCAAAAACTCCCCCCACCCATGCCCTATTTGATATGATTTGAAGAGTGCTGAATAGCTCAAAGGATTAAAAAATATTGTGGACTCAAAATTCTCACTCCTGGAATCATTAATAATATAGTACAAAGTGAAACAAAAACAACAAAAATGCAATAAAACCAAAGTATATTGTCTCCAGAAGACCTCAGATAAAATGCACACTTAATGGGAAAAACCCTCCATTCTTTTTTTTTTTTTTAAGATTTTATTTGTTTCCTTTTTCTCTCCAAAGCCCCCCAGTACATAGCTGTTTATTCTTTGTTGTGGGTCCTTCTAGTTGTGGCATGTGGGACGCTGCCTCAGCGTGGTTTGATGAGCAGTGTCATGTCCACGCCCAGGATTCGAACCAACGAAACACTGGGCCGCCTGCAGCGGAGCACACGAACTTAACCACTCGGCCACGGGGCCAGCCCCCAACCCTCCATTCTTATATTGTTAATTTGCAAATGGCTTGATGGCTTTGGATTCTGATGAGATTGTACAGATAAACTTCAGACAGAATATCTGGCTTTGGGAAAACTATGAAATAGGCAAAATATATTTTGGGTACCACCCCACCCCCTTTCTTCCCTACTCTGCCCCCTTGGACCTTCCCGGACTCTTCTGAATCCACCTACAGCAGACATGTGGGGATATTTGTGCTTCCCAAGTATCCAAGGGTTTCTCTACATTTCTCAGCCTCCCTTGCAGCTGTTTGGAGCTACGTGACGAGCTATGACTAGTTATGTCTAACTTCAGCAGAAGTGTTACGTATCACTTTCAGGGCAAGGCACTTAAGAGCTAGCATGCCTCCATCTCTTTCTTTCCCTGTTGCAGTGACTCTAGAAGGCACATATTCTAGATGGCATAGCTACAAGACAGAGCAGGGCCAGCCAACTCACACTTGGCTGTGATGTGAGGGAGAAATACACTCTCATTGCATTAGGTCATTGAGAGTTTTGTATCTTGTTTGTCACTGCAGCATGGCCTATCCTACGCAGACTGATACACCACCTATGTTACTGTAGCTCATATTATGACTGCTTAAGTACTTGCTTGGAGTTTGAAGGGCACAACAAATAACACCCTTTTTTGCCCACCGAACTAAATGAAAAATAGGCACAGGAGTTGGACCAATAGAATAAAAATACTTTATTACTGACTAAATGATATTGCAGAGAGTAATGTGGATCACTGACATCCCTGAATTGAACTTGTGCCCCAAAGTTGCAAGCCTCCCCCCATCCCCCCCAGGGGCTAAGTTTGCTATGTGACAGAAAGCAGACCACAAAGATGACTCACTGTAGACAGGCAGGTCCCAAAGGGACAGGACCCAGAAGGGGCCGGTTCTCTCTCCCACCTCCATCAGACACATGTCATTCCCACTCCCTGGGGAGTCTAGTTCAGTGATGAGGCAAGAGGCCAAGAGAATTACTCAAGGAAAGTGCTTCTGTTACAAAAAGGGAGGTGACCAGGAAAAGCATTCTCCCTAAAACTTGCCTGAGCTCTTTAACAGGCTCTAAACTGTTTGTGTTAGGATAAGCCCTGGCCCTGGTGTCAAGCAGGATTCAGGCCTGACACAGCCAGTGCAAACCCTCATGTGAAGACATGGCCTCCTCAATTAAACGGTGATTGATGCATCACAAAGCTCCTTTCAGAAAGTGGGACGAGGCCGGGAGGCATTAATAGTTAAGAACTCCCCAAATTGCACAATCACAAAACTGACCATCCACCCTGAACATCAAGTTAAAAGGCTTAATCAGATGGTCTATTTTCACGTTATTCTGTGTTTAATACACTTGCGTTGCCCTTCAGCCTTCAGTAATGACCTATTTGCCCCTTACTGCTTTGCCTTACCTGTGCTAGGGGAGTAATGCAAGTAAAGGATTCTATGCATACAAACTAGGCCACAGTAGTGACAGCGGAATAGCTCCCCCGAGGTCAGAGTGGTGGCGACAGCAACCAACCTTGGGGACATGGAACACGTGGTCCAACAATTCTTTTCACCTAAGATATTATTATTCCAGTACTAACAGTGGAGATTCTGGGTTTTATTATTTTAAAATGGAGTGCCATTTTCTTATACCTGATCAAGTTACTTAGTTCTCTGAGCTTTAGTTCGTTCGTTCAACAAATATTTACTGAGCACTTACTATGTACCAAGTAGTGTTCCAGGGCTGGGAGTACACTGGTGAATAAAGCAGACAAAAACCCTTGCCCTCAAGTGGGGACAGAAAGACAATACATGAAATAAAGTAAATATATAGTACATTAGATGCTAGTAAGAGGTATAAAGAAAAACGAAGCAAGTGAGGGGGATAAGGAGCATGTGATGGGGAGAGGGCTGCGATTTTCAATAGGCGGTCAAAGAAGGCATTACTGATCAGGTTACATTTGAACAATGACTAGCTATACACATTTTTCAGGGAAAGATCATCCCATTCCAGTAGCAATAAATAGCAAGTGCAAAGGCCCTGGGGCAGAAGCATACCTATATGTTTGAAAAATAACAGGAGGCCAATGTGGTTAGCCTCATCTATAAATGAAAATAACTGTACCCATCTCAAAGGGTTGTGTGCCTAGCACATTTTAGCAATGGATTGGGTACTCAATAAATGTTAGTTCCTTTTTCCTTTCTCACCTGCAGCACCTAACATGACACTTTGTATGTAGTAAATACTCAGTAAATGCTAGTCGAGTTGAACTGAATTGGTATTTAATTGTTTAAAATATAAACTCATTATAAGTGCTCTATAAGGGAAAATCATGGAACTATCCGTAAACCGGATACAGGATACATTTAAGATTGTTTAAACTGTTTTATCAATCAAAGAGGTTGCTAGATAAAATACATGTTTGAAGGTAGTAAGAATGGTACCCCACCTCCACACCTTTTTTTCCCCAGTGTCTCATCCTCTGGACTCTTCTAACTCCCCCCTTTTCTATTGTAACTAATCCACCTGTATTTTGTCCCTCAGGACTCTGCTGCTTAATACAAGAGTTTCCAGCCTGCAGTTCCCAAATCCTTAGGGCATCCACGAAGATAATAATGGGAGTCCACTACCTTCAGAACATTTCAAAAAGTCAAATGGAATCCTATACCACCCACAGCCAGGCTGTAGACACTACCCAAAATACCAAATTTGTTTCTGAATTATATCATCTCCATATGTTACTTAATGCTGATAGGAGACTCTGATCAATACTTAGATGTGTCCTTAACTTTTCAAAAAATTAACAAATGCAGTGTGTTTTGTAAACAACAACAACAACAACAAAAATCTTTCAAAACATGAGATTGTGGGAGTGGGTAGAGATAACTAAAAGATTCTTTGGTAGTGAAACGTTCGGGATCTGCTACGTAATTGATAATGATGTAACCCCAAACCAGCCAGTAAATATCTAGAAACAATGAAGATACCGTCCATTGCCAGAAAAAAAATCTACATCCTATTCAAGAGAAGAACGGCTTTGCCACGTAGGTACTGCGTGAGCCCTGTGAGACAGCCTAAGCGAGCTTTCCAGGGAGGGGGACTAGGTGGAGGAGAAAGAAATTCATAGCTGCAGACAAAACATTGTATTATATATTAATCTTTTCGAGCAAGTGAGCTTCTGGCTTCCATAATCACCTCCAAGCCAAGATTTCCCTCACTGCTTTCTCTTCACCAGCTAAGCATTTTTTTAATGTATCATTTTATACAAGACTATTGATAGTTTCCTAGTTCATTCCTGTAGATACTTAAATTGGGTTCTTATTTCAACTGGAAATAATCTCATTAACAACTGCTAATTCTGTGTAGAGGTCTGACCAACACCTCCTTTTCATTCACTTACTATGCATTACGTCACCATAGCTACACCTCCAAACTACATCTCTTCATCTTAACTCAGGCTTCCCTTCTCTCTTGGGTATTGCGTTACCTCACAATGTCTAGTCGTGATCCTGTGCAGAAACAAAAGAATGAGGCTGAAGGATTTAACTCTTGAAGGCAGATTTCTTCAAATGAGGATTACACTGCTGTCCCATGTCTTTATTGACAATTAGTCTCCTACAGTTTGCCAATAGCTAAGAAAGTTTTTGAAATCCTTACCTTGCATGCAGAGCAACAAATATACATTTATATAACAACAATTATGGAAATGATTTCAGGTCTAAATTAATGAGGTAATTCAAATAATTCTCTCTTTCAGTCAAAATTCTCTTTTACATTTAACTAATTTGTTTATACTCAGAAGACATTTTCTTTCATAACAATCAGGGATAGCACATTTGTTTAACACGAATTTTTATAGGATGGGGACAGGGTTACATAATGGAGGTAGCACCATTCCCTCATAGAATCAAACCAAATTAACCAATCAAACAAAAGCAAGAAGTAGCATAACAACAAAAATTTTAAGAAACACTTTCTTCACAGTCTTTTTTTCAAAGTATAAAACTTACTAGGGATAAACTATTTCGCTGTCCATCTAACCACAGGAGAGTTTGCTCACTCAGCACACACTTATTGGAAGTAATGTGGTAATTTGGTAACATCTAGTAAATGTTAGTTCCACCAATTGTTCTCTCAGCTACCACACAACTTTGGGAAAGTGACATCATTTCTCTGAATTTCATTTTCTCTCAGTAAAATCTAGTTGATTACATCTCCCCTATGGACTTCTCAGGATTCTTGTGAGGAAAAAAAAATGTTTTAAACTGCAAAACATTACATAAAAACAAGGTAGCAGTATTTACCGCCTGAAAGAGGTGAGAATAAAAACAATTAGAAAGCCTAGTAAATAGGAAAGGCAAAACAACTCTAATAACAATAAACGTAAATGTTAAACAATAACAATAAATATGAATGGTTTTAACTCACTTATTACAAGAGCGGATAAAAACAAAATCTGGTATTATTCACTTCTCATCTATATGAACCATTGACAAGAACCCTTGGTATTTCTCTTTAATGATTCTATCGTTACCTCTTCTAACTATATCTTAGCCAAACCAAGAGTAAGTATCTACTTTCAAGAGGCATCTATTTTGCACATTGTATGTACACACACACACACACACACACACACTTTTTTTCATAGAGGGCATTTTCTTGAGATTTCGTTAGCTACTGTACTTGAATGAGAGACAAGGCAAGACTGGGACACATTGACCTGGATCTTCAGAAAATCTATGACATGGAGACTGTCAAGAACCCAAGGCCCTTACAGGTTCAGACCTAGCATGTGACACGCCTAGCATTCAGCAAACAAGTAAAACGGGGACTATAATGCTCTCCAACATCTCAGTCTTCTTCCCCATCTCACTCCCAAATCACTTTCTCTCTCTTCTTTCCTTCTCCCACAGGAATTGTCATTAGAAAAGGGCCTAATGAAAAAGGGAAAACACAGAAATCCTCTTCTCACAACGCCCAAGACAGGCTTTCACTTCAAATGGCCCACCTTGAGTCTGTTCCATCCAGCTAGGCTGGAGAGTATTATACCTATAGTCTTACCTTTTCCTTACAAAGACACGGGGACCAGGATCTGTGAAAAGGAAAGTAAAAGCAAAAATTAGATTCAGTAAGAACCAAAGATAGGATAAAGACAGCATCACAAATCAACAGAGAAAGGAGCTAGGAAAAATAACTATTTAGGGAAATGACCAAATTAAATCTGTCACGCTGTGTACCAAAATAAACCACAGGTAAATCAAGGAGTTAAATATTTTTTTAAAACTCTAATTGGAGCAAAAATAAGAGAACATCTACTTAATCACTGGATTTTAATCTCTTAGAGCTAAAGGTGACAAAAGATATAGAGGACAAATACAGATTAGGGACTGGCCCAGTGGTGCAGTGGTTAAGTTCGCACGTTCTGCTTCGGCAGCCCCAGGTTCACCGGTTCAGATCCCGGGTACGGACATGGCACTGCTTGGCAACCCATGCTGTGGCAGGCATCCCACATATTAAGTAGAGGAAGATGGGCATGGATGCTAGCTCAGGGCCAGTCTTCTTCAGCAAAAACAGGAGGATTGGCAGCAGATGTTAGCTCAGGGCTAATCTTCCTCAAAAAAAAAAAAAAGGTTAAAATATTTAAAAATTGAAACTTCTCTGTGTCAAAAATTAAAAGTTGAACAGGAAAAAATTTGGAGGAATATTTGGCAACCAATATTATAAAGACAATAGTCTCAATATTTGAAGAGTACAAAATGTATAGATGAATAAGGAAAACATTAAGGTAGGTGTCAAAAGTTAAATGGACAAAGGATGGGAACTGAATTCATATATGAAGACCTGTAAAAGGCTAATAAACAAAAGAAAAAGTTCAAATTTGCTTGTAAGCAAAACATGCAAATAAAATATGAGATTCTTTTTTGATGAGGAAGATTGGCCCTGAGCTAACATCTGTGCCAGTCTTCCTGTATTTTGTATGTGGGATGCCACCACAGCACGGCTTGATGAGGGGTGCGTAGGTCTGTGCCCAAGATCCGAACCCACAAACCCTGGGCCACCAAAGTGGAATGTGTGAACCTAACCACAATGCTACCAGGCCAGCCCCGAAAATGAGATATTTTTTAAACTATCAATTAGCAAACTTTTTGCAAAGGATAATGATGCTGGAAAGGTAAGATGAGATGAGTACTTGGGTACTGCTGGTAGAAATTTAATTAGTACACTTTATGGAAAACGACTTGGCAGGATGAGTCAGCATTCCTTATACAGTGTTCCTTAATCCAATTCTAATTCTAGAAATGTACCCTAAAGAAACAATTCCAAGTGTGGGCAAAGATTTATGCACAAAAATGTTCACTGCAGTATCTTTAACAGTGGAAAACTGGATACACCTGAAATTTCCAAAACAGAAGACATGGTTAAGCAAATTAAAAAGCATGTGTAGAAGTTTTTTTTAATGTGGGAAAATGTAGGAAATCATACAGGCCAAGTTATCCAAAGGTCTATTATAATAGGCCTCATAATGACAGATTGTTCCAGACAGTTTCTTCTTGGGAGTTTTTAATCACATCCAAGAGTTCTGAAATAACATTTTCTACCCTCTGGAGTGCTTTGGGTGAAGGAAAGTGGGTGTGCTCGGGCAACAGACAGACATGGCTCATTTGTTACTTACTTGGCTGCACAATCTCAGGCAAAGGAATTAACTTCTCTGAAACTCAGTTTCCCCTTCTTAGATAGGAGGATAATAGGTAGGTCTGTGTCATAAATGTAAAGCACCTTGCCTATAATAGGTGCAGAGAGTAGACAAATGATAGAATCATTAGTTACAACTTCAGTGTATCAACAGCTTCAACAGAGCCCTGCAGGAAACACACCATCAAGTATCGATCCACTTCTGCTATGTGCAGCACGGTGCCAGGGCTGAGAGAACAAAAATGAGTGGTCTCTCTTCTCAAGGAGTTGACAGCCTAGTAGGAGATAGGCTATGAACTTTAAAAAAAAAGAAAAGAAAAGAAAAGAAAAGAAAAGAAATGGAATTTTTGAATTCAGATATTTTCTATTACTCTCCTTCTTAAGGGTAACCTGACTCAGACCTAAGGAAAAGGGAGAGTAGTCTACAAAAACGTCCTTGTGACCAGTCATGCTATCACTCGTGAAAGACGCAGCACGTGTTCTGTGGACTCCTCGTGTATTACCAAGCTTGGTTTCTAGTTTTATGTACACAGGTCAGAGAGTCAGTATAATACTGAATCAATCCTAAAAAAACTTCTATAAATATGATAACGTGAATGAATAATGCTCTTTCCTATTGTCCTTTCATACTATAACTTCTCCCATGGTAGAGCTTACACTCTTTATTTTAGAAAACACACTTTTGATGTTATCTCACCAACTGGTAGAATGAAATAGCTCTCAGGTGGCTGTTGTTAGCTAATGTCCCAAGCAAAGCGGTGTTACAATGGTTTCCAAGCTTGTCTGCACATCGGAAACGCCTAGGGATCTTTTCTGCAGGTCCCAGTCCAGACCAATTAAATCACACCCTCTAGGGGTAAGACATGGGCATTGGCACTTTTTGAAGCAGACAACCTGGGGACTATTACAGTACTGTTTCATGGGTAAGATCACTGGCTCTGGAATCAGACTGCCAGCAACCAGATCCTGGATCTAACCTCTGATCTTGGGCGAGTTTACCTATGCTCTCTGTACCTTGGTCTTCTCAAGTGTAAAACGGGTTCTTACCTCAAAACGTTGTTATATGAAAGTTAAATAAGATAATACATGAAAAGCACATTGCATAGTGCCCAAAACACAGTAAATACACAACAAATGGTAGCTATTATTAATCCTAAAAATTCAAGAGTTAAGATTCTGCTTACATTTCTGTGAATAAAGAAGAACATTTGTTTAAGTAATTGTTAAGTTCAAGTGACTGTTCAGGAAGCATTTGCTATTAAGGGTTCCAACTATGAAAACTAATATTAGTGAAAGGAGAAACTAATTGGGAACAGGTACTCACATGTCTTTTCACTGGTTTCTTTATGTATTTATACCCTCCTCTCATTCCTAAAAGGATTTGCGGTTGCTTACATAAACACATACACTACAATAGGATATTATCTGTTTTAAGATGAAAAACTCAAGGAGAGAGGTAGAAAAATAGCAGAGGGAGAAAGGAAAGGAAAATAAAACAAAAGAAGAATGTATCATAAAGCTCAGTACAGTTGTATCAGAGCATCCTACCACTGAAAGCAGAGAACACCAACTTTTCCTAATATTGAAATCTGAAATAATTTCTCTTGTGAGGTCTCAATGGTGTTATACAGGCACAAAATAAATTATCAGACTTGATAATGGAGAGGTGAAGAGAATCCTGCTTTCTTACTTTTTTCCTTCCTCAAACTTTACTCTTGATATATGTGTTTCAAAAAATCAAGTTAAATCAAGAAAAATAAGAGAGTTTCAAGCAAAGTACCATAAATTAGTGAACATAAGGCAAGATTTTTCCCAAAAAGCTATTCCTCAGAAAAGAGGAGCTTACCTTATATGCAAGTTCTTACAAAAACCCATCTTATGAGGCACTTTCTCAATTACTTTATTTTTGCAACAAAGAACTGGTCAAGGAAAACATATTAGCCTGAAACAACTTTAATGCTAGAATGGAATAATTATAGAGCTCTCCTTACAAAAATTAATATTTAAAAACAGAAGAGAGTTGAAGAAATTTAAAACAGATTTACTAACTATTCTTGGGGATGATTCTTGTTGGATGTTGCTCTAAGCAAGCTTTAAACATCATTTAAAAAAGCAAACTAGAAACACAAAACACAAAGAATATAGTGATTGTACTGCGAAGATAAAAGTACACTAAGCAAAGCATGCATTTAAAAAAGTTCTTACTGCTACATTACATGAATGGGTTCTGAAGGCTTGTAACATAATTGCCAGTGACAGCATCAAACATGGGTTCAAAAGAGGCCCTATCTTATCCCTAATAAAATAATGGAATCGAGGCAATGAATGAGACTGGATGCTAAAACCATTTGGCGAAAGGTGGATGGGGAACCTTATAATGGAGCAATGAGCTGACCTCACCTGAACCTATTTATCAACCTTAGAACCACACAAATGGGAGAGCCAAACACTGTGCCTGGAAGCGTCATGCAAGAGGAAGTGCACAGCATCATCTGCGAAATATTCTTGCCCGAAATGATTTATTCTGAATCTAAGCAAGCTTCTTAATCTATACGATTTGCAAGAAATATGGGAGCTAGAAGAAAAATTTAAAGACATCACAAAGAACAAATCAAATTCAGAATATGGGATATTTTACCCAATTTTTCTAACAAATAGTGTTTTTAAAAGGGAGAAGATAAGGGGCTGGCCCTGTGGCCGAGTGGTTAAGTTCACGTGCTCCGCTGCAGGCAGCCCAGTGTTTTGTCGGTTTGAATCCTGGGTGCGGACATGGCACTGCTCATCAAGCCACGCTGAGGCAGCATCCCTCATGCCACAACTAGAACGCCCACAACTAAAATATACAACTATGTACCAGGGGGCTTTTGGGGAGAAAAAGGAAAAAAAATTTTAAAAAATTTAAAAATCTTAAAAAAATTTTTTTTAAAAAGGGAGAAGATAAGGGTTGGTGATAAAGAATAAAAAAGAAGGCACATAACCTCCCAAATGCAATGTGTGGCCCTTGTCTGAGGCCTAATTTAACAAAACCAACTGGAAAATACATTTTTGAGACAATTAGGGAAGCCTAAATATTTAGTGGGTATTAGAGGGTATCAAAGATTAATCATAAATTTTGTTCAGTGTAATAATTACATGATAATTATGTTTTTTTTAAAAAGCCCTTAGCAATTAGAAATGCATACTGAGGAATTTATGGATGAAATGACACGGCATCTGGTATTTACTTTAAAACAATTTGTCCTATAGGATGCTCCAAAAATGTGGGGCTGGAGGTGGGGTGGTGGTGAAGGAGTTGGGAGAGGATGCCTATATGAAACAAGATTAGCAAAATGTTAATAATTATTGAAATTAGGTGATGGGCATATGGGAGTTCATTATAATCTTCCCTATTTTGCGTAT